GAGAGGGCAACTTTCAAATCAAGTGATCAAACCTTCCTACAGTTAGGGTCACCTCAAACATCCGCTGGGTCAAACCTTCCTATAGTTAGGGCCAAAATCATAATTCACTCTCGATAAACAAGAAATTCATCTTTAGTTCGGTAATCAAATCTTCCGACAGTTAGGATTATCTGAATCCTTTCGATTCTCGGAGTGGAGATCACACTCTTAGTTTTACTCTTCAGATTCTCAAAGTAGAGATCTCACTTTGAGTTTTCTTTACAACTGAAGATAGAATATAAAATTCTTCCTGATAATCATATTTTATTATAATTTTATATCCTCATTATCTATTTTATATGAATAAATATACCACTAATAATTGTTTTTATCTTTTAATTGCAGGTTAATGAAGAATAAATCTCAAACTCTCATCTCTCAACAAAAACCCATCGATTAAATGAAGAAATGAATCAAAGAAGCCCATTGGAAAATCAATTTCCAAATTATCCAAAAGCCCAGAATCAAGCCGAGTAGCCTGTAGAAGCCGGAGAAAATCAAAAATCTAATATGAAAAGAAATCATATTCAAAATGGTTGGCCACAAAGAAACGATGATATCTCCTAATCCGGAAGGCGGAATTTAACATATAATATATGAAAATCGCCTATCTCGACGAGATGAAGCTATCCGTGAAATCAGAATTTGGAAATAATGAGTATCGATGTCGGCATCGATGTCGGCATCGATGTGGGCATCGATACCTGCATCGATACCCGCATCAATGCCTGCATCGATGCCAGATTACTGTAGCGCGCGTCAATGGCTGATTATGCTTGTCTTGGGGCTCAAGTTTGATCCAATGGCTCTCATTCACTGATGTTTACTATAAATAGGGGTAGAGAGTGAGGGGTTAGAGGTGTAAAAATTTTTGTAACTCCTTTTGGAGAGGAGGGCTACTCTTAATTGAGAAGGCCTTCCAAAATTATAACTTTTTGTTGCAATTAATAATAATAATTTTTTCACCACTTTAAATTTTTCTCTTCTTCTCTTTGTTGGATGATGAAGATGAAGATGAAGATGGAGAATTATTTGAAGGTTTGCATTTCTTTTCTTTTTCTCTTTTATTGCTTATTAGTGTAGATTTATTTCTATGCTTGTAGTTTAGATTTTATTTTCTTGTTAAATAGCCAAGAGGCTAGAACCCTCTTGCCTTAGATTTATTTCATGCTTATAGAGTAGATTTATTTTCTTACATTTAATTCTTGCAATTTTATTTTGTAGTTTAGATTTTGCAATTTATTTTGTAGTTAGATTTTAATTTCTTATACTATTCACCTTGAGGCTAGAACCCTCTTGGGTTTAGTTTTCATGCACACAACATAAGAACCAATTTTATATTTTCTCCTACAAAACACCTTCCTCGTGGGATCGATATCTTAAATACTATAACTTGACACGGTTGTGCACTTGCAACCTTTTTGGTACATGTTTATGCCGCATCACTTCCTCCCCAGCGTCGGGTTCGTCTTTGCCCCAACAGAAGACATTACTTTTCAAACACCAAAATCTGTGCCTTACACGTACGGGGAATTTTATCCCGAATCCTAAGTAGGGATAAGTCAACGCCTAACACGCGTTGCCGGTTTAGTCTTTCACCGATTAAAAAAGACACCAGAATCCGAGTCTGGAAACTTTTATTCCGAAGCCTAAGTAGGGATAAGTCAGCGCCTAACAAGCGTTGCCGGTTAGTTCTTGACCGTAAAAAAACAAAAGCCCACATATTCAACATTGTGACAGGTTGTTATTCATAACACCATAATTCGTACCTTACACGTGTGGGGAATTTTATCCTAAATCCTAAGAAGGGATAAGTCAACGCCTAGCACACGTTACCGGTTTAGTCTTTCACCGATTGAAGAAGACACCAGAATCCAAGTCTGGAGAATTTTATCCCGAAGCCTAAGAAGGGATAAGTCAGCGCCTAACACGCGTTGTCGGTTAGCCTTTTACCGTAAAAAGGACAAAAGCCCATATATTTGATATTGTTGCAGGTTGTTATTCATAACGCTAAAATCCGTGCTTCACACGTACGGAGAATTTTATCCCGAATCCTAAGTAGGGATAAATCAACGCCTAACACGCGTTGCCGGTTTAGTTTTTTACCGATTGAAGAAGACACCAGAATACAAGTATGGGGACTTTTATCCTGAATCCTAAGAAGGGATAAGTCAACGCCCAACACGTGTTGTCGGGTAGTCTATTCCCATAAGAAAGACGAAGTCTACGTATTCAATATCGTAGCACTAAAAAAGGTAACTATTTTAGCATAACGTCACATGCGGAACGGACTTAAACAATCCGTATGTAAGCCCGATTCAAACGGTAATCGGTAAAGGCACGTTAAATCCGTTGATGGCTGAGAATTTGCCAAAAATCCTGAGTCTGCATCTGATACATACGGTCGGGTAGTCTATTCCCGTGAGAAAGATAAAGTCTACGTATTCAATATCGTAGCACTAAAAGAATTAACTCTTTTAGCATAACGTTACATACGGAACGGACTTAAACAATCTGCATGCTAGCCCGACTCAAACGATAGTCAGTAAAGGTTCATCAAACCCATTGATGGCTGAGGGTTTGCTAAAAATCCTATACATGTGAGAGTCATTGACGCACCAGCTTCATTAGTTGGTGTTGTGACTTGAGCATCCAACAACTTCAGGATAAGATCCATACCTGCAGATGAATCAGCTTTAATAGTTGGTCCTGCAACCTCAACACTTGAGACTACCACGGGTTGCGATGAAAGTCAACGTCGGTCAATGTGTTACGATAAAAAGTCAACACAGGGCGATCCAAAACCCAAGGTCAACGCCGGTCAACGTCGGTCAACGCGTAACTCTAGGTCAACACCATTCAACGGGTTGCGATGAAAGTCAACGCAAGTCAATATATTGTGATGGAGATGATCAGTTCAAAGTCAACTCGACGATACGAGCCAAAACCAACTCACCAGTTTCTATTTGAGACTTCGACGACGGCCAGACGATAAACGCAGTGCCAGAACAACTTCGGTTATTCGTTAAGATATTGAATAGGCTGAGAATCGAAGAAGTCAAGAGTCAAAGATAACTACAGGTCCTTTTACACTGACTGAAGGTTGGACCGATCATATCCAAAGTATTTCAGGCTCATCTATAAAAGAAACAAGACTGAAACACTTTGGAGGGAGTATTTGTAGGCGTCAAAAATTACCTATAGGTCCCCGCACGCGGCTGGAGATAGAGAGAAGATGATGAACGTCACTATTCGAGTCACAGAAACTCATTTGACGACGACAAACGCATGAAGTGAATCGATAGACCATCCGAAGCAACGGAATTTCGAAATAACAGAAACACGAATGAACCGGGAGTTGCACATCGCTTACGAAAGACGAAGCGCCCCTTGTGTCCCATTTACTCCACATATGATTCAATCATGGGAGCTTGTATATCTCCTCGCCGGCTTTCCGACGCATTCTGAACCGTGTGATTCCGAGTTCGGATGATGAAAATACGGTGAAAACGATCGGAATGCGCAGACCGAGCCCTAAGCCAAAGTCAAGACACCTCTTTGATGTCTCGGTCAACCCGAGACACCCAAAGGTGTCTCAGCCTCCAAGGTGTCTCCGCCAAACCGAGACACCCCAAGGTGTCTCGGCTTGGCCGAGATACTCATTGGTGTCTCGGCCAAGGCCAAGACACCCCTTGGTGTCTCGGCTTGGCCGAGACACCCACGGGTGTCTGCAGACCCGAAAATCAGATTTGGCTGTTTTTTGTGGTTTTTCGATCGTTAACCACCTGGATTTGCTCCAACTGATAAAATATCAGGCATGAACATGATTAATTGGTTACGACTGAGGATAAGAGGGAATCGGCCGTTCTTATCTGAAAACAGGACTCCCGAAGCCTATAAATACAGCCCCAGGGCCTTTATTTTTTCAGATCTGGAATTCTTGAACGTTGGCGAAGCCCTGCCGAACTAAAGACTAAAGGAGCACGAATTTCAGAGAGGAGGAGGAGACTTCAGCGAATTCTTCGGCATTAAGAAGGAGAGTTCGATAGATCTGCAGCCCGGTTCTTTTCCTTGACATCGCCCCGTTGCGGTGATCTCAAGAAGAGTGGTTATCTCGCTGTTGTAGAGATAATTGCTTCGGTTTCTTGACTCCTTTGCGAATCAACGAAGCTTCGGATCTGATCTGATCATTGGTGGTCCACGGATATCAACGTCCCCGTCACAGGCCGAGATCTCACGCAAGCAGTGGGCGATAAACACCCGTTGCGCTGTTTGACGAGAGTTGTATTTTTTTTTTGTAAGGGTCTTATAAAAAGACTATCTTTTTTGTTGTCATTGTAACAACTGAAGTTGTAATGATTACCTCAATGAAAAAATCAACTTTCTCCCCCAAACAATAATTAAATGAACAAATTGCGACTATTAGCTAAATAATTAATAAATAATTGAAAGGAAAAATCTCTTCATAATTTTTTAATACTGAAAATGATCTGATTCCACAGAAATTAAGCGTCATATCGCTTATGGACCTTCAGTTCCTTCTTTGTACTGCCCGATGAACATTAAAAACTCAGTTAAATCTTATAGAACACTTCTCTAATAATCTTGGAAACAAAAATTTGTTCTAGTGAATTTGGTTAAAAAAAACCCCGGCTAATTTTGTAGGACTGTACAAAATCCCGATCGTACCATCTTATACAAAGATTTGGAAGATATCTCTACTTGATCTAAGGGTCGTATATTGGGGCTTTTCACCCCAAGCTATAGACAGCTGGAAATTTTTTCTACCAAACAAACTGTATAGGTAGTTTTTTCCCCCAAAGCTGTAGACGGTTTGAAAATTTATCCTAGAAACCAACTATTACTCTTTTTCCCCCTTTTTTGGGAAGAATCTGAAAGATTCACTATATATACTCCTAATGTCCATAATACCGTAGTCTTTCCTTCCTCTCTTTGCATAAACAATAAGGGAGAGTCTAAACTTCTCAATATTAGGGAAAAAAAATACATGGAGCTTTGGAGAGCCTTGCTCTTTTATATTGTGGTGTTGGTGGTAATTGATGTAGGAGAGGCACAACTAAGACACAATTTCTATGAGAGTACATGTCCAAATGTCGAGCTCATCGTGAGGCAAACGGTGATGAAAAAGGTAAAGCAAACCTTCGTCACGGTTCCGGCCACCTTGAGGCTCTTCTTGCATGATTGCTTTGTTGAGGTATGGCCTCTTATAGAGCTCCTCAATAGGCGGTAACGTACATAGATTTTGCTTTGGCTAAATTATTAAATTGGTATTTTTATTCGATCCTCTTTACTAGTTTGGTTATTTAAAAAATCCAGTGATAACAAGGTATTTTATTAAGGCTATGCTTAAGAAGGAAGAAAACAAAATGATAATGTTACGAATAATAGAAGCAGTAAGACAACCTAGCATAGAAAGTCTTCTTTATATGGCTTTATACGGCATAATTTCCTATGTCTACGCAACACCTTGTTAGGGATTTTTTTTATACAAACTATCAATCTTCATAAAGATCACTTGCACAAGAACATGAAAAAAAATTGCAGGGATGCGACGCGTCAATCCTGATCTCATCCTCAAACGGAGATGCAGAGAAAGATGCAGACGACAACCTCTCGCTGGCCGGCGATGGCTTCGACACTGTGATCCAGGCCAAACAGGAGGTCGAGTCTGCTTGTCCTGGCGTAGTCTCCTGTGCTGATATTTTAGCGATGTCAGCCAGAGATGTTGTGGCACTAGTAAGCATTAATCATAGTACATATATCTTAACCTTACTGTAAATATTTTACCATTTTGATAAGTTGAATAATAAGACTATAACCCTTAACATTTACCACAACATCAGAGCTTTGGTATTATAGTGGCAATGGCTCTAAGAAGTATCAAAATAATTTAGATCTGAATCCTGCTGATAACAAATTCTATGCGGAATTTAAAAAATCAATATTGTTGTGTGAGTACATATTTTTTAAATTTAATATTGTTGCATATAGTGATCAGGTAACATGGTAGAGTAAGTTTTATGAATCCCATGTAAAGTTCGGTCTTCGGGCCTTGAGATTTTCCGACAACGCAGTTTTGGGCTCAGGTGAATTTTGGACTCACTCTTTGTCTTTATTTTTGAGAGTCTAATAAAATATACAATAAAAAACTAATAGTATTATATGTTTACTGTAGCTGTAAAATAGTCAAAGATGCATAGATAAAGACTAATATCAGCTAGACTGAAATTTTTGTATTAACGGAATAACATAATTCAGTTAGGATGACTAATTTTCAGAGTTGACAAGCAGCAACTCATTTTTATTTACAGTCCGGAAATAAAATTTAGATAATGACTAATTTTTATTTAAACATGCAAAATTTAGAAGATACATTGGAGTTGGACGGGAAACCAGACAACATTGATGGGAAGGTTTAGAAGAAAATTAATAGAACGGCGTATGGTGTGATTAGGTTTTGTCTCCAAGATCTAAAATATGATGTGATGAATGAGACTTCGGCTAAGAAGATTTGGGAAGTCCTAGAGGGTAAGTATTTAACGAAGAACGTCAAAAATCACTTGCATTTGAAGAGGAGGCTTTATCGCTTCCAGTTGAAGAAGGAGACATCCATTAGTGATCACATGAACCATTACACGAAGCTTCTTACGGATTTGGCGAATGTAGATGTCATGGTTAAAGATGAGGACAATGCGTTGCTATTGTTGAGTTCCTTGCCCGGCGAGGAATATGAGACATTCATCCTTACTCTTATTAATAGGAAGGCATCTCTTTCGTATAGTGAGGTCACTGCGGAACTTGTGAATTATCAACTTCGAAAGAAGGATAAAGAGACTTCTATTGAGCCGGTAGCGGGGGCATTGGTCGCAAGAGCTAAGAGTCCAAACCGTGATAGAAGGTCGCAATCTAGAGGGGCACATCCTATAGTTTGTAGGAATCAGTGTGCCTTTTGTAGAGAGGATGGACATTGGAAAGCCGAATGCCTAAAATTGCAAGCCGAGAAGAATAAGGGGAAAGCTATTCAAGCTTCAGAGTTGAATGTTGCCAAGGCTAGTGGCGACATTTTAGATTCGGATTCTTCGGACTATTCGTGCCCAGATCTTCTGTCAGTTGGTGTTATCGACTCCACCGAGTAGATGTTGGATTCAGGTGCTACTTACCACATATGTCCTAGGAGGGATTGGTTCTCCAGCTTTCAGAAGTTGGAAAGAGGGGATGTTGTGCTCATGGGTAATGATCACAAATGCTATATTAGTTGTATCGGTATCGTTCGGATTCGGATGAGTGACGGGATGATTCAGGAGTTAGTTGAAGTGAGGTTCGTTCCTCAATTGAAGAAGAACATCATTTTACTTGGTGCATTGGAGGCAGCAGGCTATAGGGTAATCTTGGTGGATGCACGCTTGAAGGTCACATTGGGGTCCATGATTGTGATGAAGGGCGTCAGAAGGAGCAACTTGTATTATTTGCTTGGGAATATGGTGATTGATAGAGAGCTGACGACTTCTTTGGCTAGACTGTGGCATTGTTTGTTGCTGGGATATATGATTGGTTATATCGTGCATAGATTGTTGAGGAGTGCTATGACCTGTAGATTGAAGTCCTTTGAGCACGTTTGGATGAGCGAGAAGACCGAGGTGGAGTTTGGTACTTCTATCCATCGATCGAGTGGTCTTATTGGAAGTGTTCAGTCAGGCATTTGGGGGCCTTCCAAGGAGGCATCAATGGGAGGTAATCAGTATTGTGTTTCCTATGTTGGGGATTGTACTAGGCATTTATGGGTTACAACCAAGTCCCGTTGGTATGAAGCCCTAGTAATCCGTAACAGTTGGAGGAGGTGTATTAGCAGAAAGGTTACCCATCGTACTAGTTCTAGTAAGGGTTCTTTCTTGCATTCGTGCCGAGCTCATGGCAGTTGGAGACACTTCGTAGGAGAGGAGATATTGGGGTGATGAGATGAGATGGCGGATTCGGTGAGATGTTCCTTTCTGGAGAAGAATCGGTGTTGGTTGCCGAGCAGTGGATTTGGTATTCTACATGATTGGGTCATCTTATAAGGTTGTCGACTGCTGTATTGAGAGTTGTTAGATCTGGTGGAGCTATTTCAGACTTTTGATCACGTCAGATGTTTGGCTACCCAGCACTTGGTTACATCATGGATGTGAGATTGGATACGATTACACGATTGGGATTCAGAGGCTCTTTTGGCTATCAGTTGAGAGCTTCTTAGTTTGTTCAGAGCAAGTATGTCACATTGGACTCTCGGCAGGTAGAGAGTGTAGATCAGATCAGTGGGATATCACAGTGGGTGGAGGGTGATGCTACTCCACATTCACATACTCCAGGTTATTCTGCATTATTTAGGATTCCAGCTGATGTGGCACAGTTTGGGGATCAGATTGTTCAGGATGTAGATGATAAGTTGGTAGATTCGAGTGCAGCTGGTGGATGTAGCTTGTATATGGCCATTGGGTCACCTTAGGTGGAGGTGTTTGGATCGTGTCAGTTTGGGGTCATTGGTGAAGCTATCAGTCGCAGATTGGGTGTTGATGTTGATGAAGAGTTGAGAACTCTTCTTTTGTATTGAGGGCCTTTGGAGGCCATTTGGGTGAACTACGTGAAGGCTTGATTCCTTGGACTAGAGGATACGTATGCAGTCTTTATGATACAGCCGATTTGGTGAGTAGACACTGTTGCTTTGGGTGAGTGTTTGCATTCCCGTATGTATCTCGACTTGTTGTGGATGGAGTCCGTTGTCATGAGTCTGTTGCCATGGCGTACTGGAAGCAACAAGTGAGGTATTTGGTGTGGTCAGTGTCAGCTCAGTTTTGGCAGAATGTTCGCTAAGGTGGAGATTTGTAGGACTGGTAGAACAGTTGATGGAGCCTGGGGAACGTTTTGGATGGTCGGAGGTTGACTGCGAGATCGTGACGGTCAACCGCGTTCGTGCACGGGGCCTCACTGTGCCTCTGGATCTTTGGCGGTCGACAGTGACGGTCGATCGCGTTTTCCTCTAGAGTTTGGGCCTGTTTCTGGAGTTGGTGCGTGTTCGCGGGAAAAATTGTTGCTTTCTTCATTGATTCCATCGATTACAAAAATCCGGTCTTTTTATAAGATCCAGTTACAACGAGATCAAAAAAGAAATAAAAATTACAACTTTCTTTTTTCGAACAAATCGCGAGCTCCTGTTTTGCGGTCACTCGCTTTGGTGGGTTCTTCGCCTGCGCCGGGGTTTATCCGTGGACTAGCACATGATCTAGATCTGGTCGGATCTACACGATATAACGGGTATTATTTCACGAAGGAAACAATAGCCGGGGGGATTAATTCACCAAGGATATAATCGCCCTCTCGGGATCAAAGGTCAAGCTTTGATCCGGAGTATAATCGCGTAGATCTCAGATCCGATCCCTCTCGAACTCCTGCCTCTTTTGACGTGGACGATCGCCGAGCACCGGATCTGAAAGAGCAAGTCTTCAAAGTTCCAAAGCTTTAATCTTTTTTAAGTTTTGAGCCTTCAATCTGAGCTTCGTTGTTGATCCGATTTGGTAGTCCGGATCCTGATTTGGCAGTAAATCCACCTCGGTGTTCGAGTTTGAATCCATTCCATAGTTGGATGACTTGTTGACCCACCGATCCGTTAGCTTGATTCCGCACGCGAGTGGATGTATTCCGTTATTTGTGTGCGGTTCGTTAGCCTCGTCGCCTCGTTAATCCACTTTGTTGCGTGTCACTTGGCTTCGGTGTTGTGGACTAACGTTCATGTTTAGATACGTCACCCGATGGTTCGTCGGTTTGTGCCGAGCTGTGCTAAGGGACCTATAAGCAGTTTTATACGCCTACAGATACCCCCTCCAAAGAATTTTAGTCTCGTTCTTTTATAGAAGAGTCTGGAATACTTTGGATATGATTGTTCTAACCTTCAGTTGGTATAACGGGACCTTGGAATGGCTTCTGTTCTTGATTCCTTCAATCCTTTAGGTTATTCGGTGCTTTGTCGAATGTCTGTAAGGGTCCTGGTGCTGCATTTATTATCTGACCGTTGTCGGAATTCTGAACTTGAAGTCGATTCCTAATTTTCTGATCTTTAGCTCGTGCTTGTTGGTTCAACATAGAACTGGCCATCGATAGTTGGCGTTGAGTCTTCATTTGTAACGCGTTGTCCGACGTCTGACATAGTTTATACTCATACGTCTGTCGGAGTGTTGTTGAGTTATCCTTAAGAATATTTTTAGAAAAATACTCTCCAGAAACTTCTCAACAAAAATAGGGAATAGTTTATACTCGTATACCTTATTGGAGTAATTTCTGTGCCCGAATGAGCTGAACCGGCCAGATAATGAGCTGAACCGGCTTGATAATGAGCCAAAAAAATGATAGTAATTCGGTTCAAAAAATCTTCTGATTCTTCCGAATGTGCGGGAGAGGCAAGAATAAACCAAGGACTGAACCCTCGGTCGATTTGAAGTTGTTTCGATGCTCGATTCAGCTTCAATTTGAATTCTGGTTCAAATTTGGTTCAAACTGGTTCAGGACTGGTTCAACCTGGTTCAAGGCTGGTTCAAGACTGGTTCAGACTGGTTCATTCTGGTCTGGTCTGGTTCAGGCTGGTTTGGCCTGGTTCAGCCTGGTTTAGCCTCTTTTGAACTGATTTGGACTGGTCTGGTCTGGTTCAACCTGGTCCGGTCTGGTTCAGGGCTGGTTCACATTATAAAAGGGGTTCTTTTCTCTCTCTTTTCCTCCTCTCTAGGGCCGCCCCCCCCTAACCTCTTTTTCACTTTTCTCTTCCCTCGACCCCCCCCCCCCTGTCCAATTTTCTTGATTTCTCTTCCCTCGAGCATCCTTTCTCCCTCAAATCTTTACAATTGTCTTAGATCTAGTCTTCCTTTTGATCTTTGACTGAGAAATCCCTAAGAAATCTTCATATAAAAATTTTTCTCTGACCCCTCGAGCACGTGGTTTAAGCCTCTTTCAATATCTAATTTTTTGTCGGATCCTCGAGCTTTTCCTCAGGTAAATCCTCCATAATTTTGGCATATTTCATGTCTAATTTTTTGTCGGATCCTCGAGCTTTTCCTCAGGTAAATCCTCCATAATTTTGGCATATTTCATGTTCAATTTAGTACATCTCGAGCTTTTCCTCAGGTAAATCCTCCATAATTTTGGCATATTTCATGTTCAATTTAGTACATGAATTTATGGTATTGCATATGAGGGTTAGGGTTTATGATTTGGCGCATCGAGCTCCTCTTTCAGGGGGTAGAATTTGGAGATTTGAGGGGCTTAATTGTAATAAATAAGTAAATTTTTTTCTGGATCTGATCCTCTGATTTATTTTGCAGGTCACCATGTCTAAGAAGATGGTGAGACCCGAAATCATCCTGATATCCGACGATGAAGGGGAAGAGGATCCCATTGCTGCAATTATGCCTGGCCAAGAATCTGTCCTCTCGGTCTCCGAATCCATGTAGGGCATCCTCCAAAAATTAGAGAAAGTTATGCAACAAACGGCCACCGCCATTAGTTTTGGACGGGGAAGATTTTATGATTTGCTCCCTTTCATAGCAGATAGTCTTAAAGACATTCGGCATATAGGTGACATCCAGCTAGCTAGATGATGTGAGTTAAGGTTAACTTGCTTAGAGGAACTCATGTATCGTTTGGAAGAGCTAGTATACTCCGACCCACATGATGAGGCCACGCCGCTCATGATCGATGCTCAGATTCAGAGGATGCACGAGCGTAAGGCCCGAGCGAGACGCATATCAGAGCAAGAAATCATCGTTGCGAACTTGTACGAACGGCAACGTCATCTGCGGACTAAGATAGATGCTTATAACAACATTGCTGATAGGACAGGGATTAGGACCGTCCAAGGGGAGAGGACTCTAAAAGATTTTGAGCTCGTGAGCACCAGAGTTCAAAATGTTTATAGAGGAGAGCTGGAGGTTCTTCACGCGTTGCGCCGAGAAGACGTAACTGCTGACGCTGCCGCCGTTCTTGCTTATGCCAAGCTTCAGAAGGAAGAAGAGGAGAAGGTTCGAGCGGAACACGCAGAGAAACTTGCCGCTGTTAAGGCTAAAATTGCTTCCTTCAGTTTGTTAGATCTGATTTGAGACGTCTTCTTGTATCTCCACTTGGTCTAATTTTATTAATGAAATAAAGTCTTTTCTTTAGCACACTCCTCTTTTTATCATTATGTTTCTCTGTTGATTATGAACCCAACGGTCATAATACTTACAGGATTTTTGGCAAATCCTCAGCCCTCAACGGGTTTGATAAACCTTTACCGACTACCGTTTGAGTCGAGCTAGCATGCGGATTGTCTAAATCCGTTCCGCATGTAACGTTGTGCTAAGAGAGTGAATTCTCTGAGACTTTGTGCTATGATGTCGAATACATAGACTTCGCCATTGTTACGGGAATAGGCTACCCGGCGACATGTGTTAGGTGTTGACTTTAGGATTTTTGGCTAACCCCCAGCCATCAACGGGTTTGATAATCCTTTACCGACTACCGTTTGAATCGGGCTAGCATGCAGATTGTCTAAATCCGTTCCGCATGTCACGTTGTGCTAAGAGAGTGAATTCTCTGAGACTTTTGTGCTATGATGTTGAATACATAGACTTCGCCATAGTTACAGGAATAGGCTACCCGGCAACACGTGTTAGGTGTTGACTTTAGGATTTTTGGCCAACCCCCAGCCTTCAACGGGTTTGATAAGCCTTTACCGACTACCGTTTGAATCGGGCTAGCATGCGGATTGTCTAAATCCGTTCCGCATGTCACGTTGTGCTAAGAGAGTGAATTCTCTGAGACTTTTGTGCTGTGATGTGAATACATAGACTTCGCCATTATTACGGGAATAGGCTACCCGGCGACACGTGTTAGTCCCTACTTAGGCTTCGGGATAAAATACCCCAGAATCGAACTATGGTGTCTTTTTCTACGGAGAAAGACTAAACCGGCGACGTGTGTTAGGCGTCGGCATATCCTTTTTTAGGATTCAGGATGAAATTCCCCATGCGTGTAAGGCATGGATTTTGGTGTTATTAATAACAACCTGCCACAATGTTGAATATGTGAACGGGTGTTCTTTTTTAACGGTTAAGAACTAACCGACAGCGCAGGTTAAGCGCAGACTTATCCTTGCTTAGGTTTCAGGATAGAATACCCTAGAATCGAACTCTGGTGTCTTTTTCTACGGAAAAAAGACTAAACCGGCAGCGCGTGCTAGGCGCAGACTTATCCTTGCTTAGGATTCGGGATAAACTTCCTAGGATGAATCCTAGATTGATAAATTTTGGAAAAGATCAGTGTGGGAAAGGAAGAATTTTATATTCTATTTCCCGGTCTTCTTTTTAGGGTGAAGGCGAACCCGAAAAACAAGGAAGGAAGAATTTTATATTCTATTCCTTGATTCTAGAAAGGAAGAATTTCATATTCTATTTCCAGCGCAAAAGAAACTAGAAGTGGGATCTC